AGCCCTGTAGCTTTTGCCGGTCTCGAGATGAAAAATCGGTACAGGCGAACACACAGACACACAGACGCACAGATACACAGACACACAGACACACACGCACAGACAACCTCTCGTCAATATGCGTTTTTTGCGTTGCATAGCTGCAAAAAACGCGTAAAAAGTGACAAGGCTCGCTGGTTGTTTACGGCAGCTGGCTGATCCCCAGTTACGTTGACCAGTGCTTCATCCTCTAGTAGGGGCTTGCTTGTGATATCTGACGTTTTTTTCACTTCGTATCGCGACCTAGGAAAATCAGACTAAAATGCAGTTATCCCCAGAACTAGAGAATCTTCACAAAATTTCATTAGTGATTTGTGAACTTCACTGGTCTTAATTCATTCACTTATTGAAATCGATGATGCAAAGTCAAATTTAAGTCAGAAATCTAATCTCATTCATATTTCGCTTTTTATAAGCACTCCAAAGAAAGTCAGGTACCAATAAGTCCCTGCAGTGAAGCTAACAGTAGGGAGTTATGCTTTCCAGCGCTGTTTAGAAGCAAGCTAATGGTAATTTTGGCTAGTTGACAAATACTAGTACCAAGTGACCATCGAAACTAATGAACAAATCCTGGAGACAACAAATTATCGGCGGCGCATAACTCTTATTTCACTCTGAACTGCAGCGCAACAGCAAAATTTTTTACAGTATTATAAGCTGATGGCGGTTTTGACCCTTTGGCAAGCATTAGCACCAACTGGCCGTCGAAACTAATAAGTGATTCGCAGAAAAATGGATTTTTATTGCCTGACTTTAACATTAACTTGGAGTACCATAAGCCGCCAAATCCTCCAACTAGCAAAGCGACAAATGCTTTTTCAGGCCTTTTCGAGTGAGTACACGAGGTGCCTCATTCTCGTTCAATCACGAAGCGTTGCTTGCAGCCCTGGCCGCAATACATGTCCAGAAGTTGATCCGTGGTCATTCTATTACTCCTGAAGGTGTTACTGATTGTTTCGGCGATGGATCCTGCATCACTGTTCACACAGCTATTCGTGAGCAAGAAGGCTGTGTCGCATGTAAATTCACTTCACATATCTCCTTCATATTTCGCTTTACATAACCTTCAGAAGCACCTCAAAGTGAGGTACCAGTAACTTCCTACCGGCAAGGCTGACAGTAAAGAGTTACGTGTCCAAGCGCTGCTTAGAAGGAAGCTAATGGCAGTTTTGACTCAGTTTTTCGAAGTTTTTCATTATTTGCTACGGGAAAAGCGCACATTTTGCGAGCACAGCTGAAGTGTATAAGTAATGGTGCTGGTTACCAGCCTGATGTCTAGTTATCCGTTTTTGCTATAAACTGTTCCCGGGGAATCACGTAAACTGCGCTTCGAAGAACTGATTATACTGGATTCATGACTTACACTGGCGTTTTTAAGGATCAATTTACAGCCATATTTGAGAGATAGTAACGTTTCGAAACTGATTTCCTGTTTATTTACTTATTTGTTTATTTGTTTGTTTGTTTGTTGCCAACAGTTTTCTCTTTGTTCACCCTTTTCCACTGTTAAATTAATAAAAGTTATAAGTAACTAGCTTGTTTCTCTCTTTTTCGACGGCCGATTCTGATCGTTCTCGACTTGGTGGCTGTATTTTCTTTACTTTGCGCGTGAATCTGAACGAAGCGATGGAGTCGACTGAATTTTAAATTGATTTAATTCCGTCATTTTTGTGGTTTAAATGCAAGAGTTTGTTTGGCTTTTTTTAATTATAAACTTGCAGCTGGAACGATAAAATTGATTCGCGACGAAGCTGGACAGTTCGTGATGGAGAAACGCGTTTACCAGGTACTCGATATAAGCAGTGTTTAGAAAAATATTGTTTAGATTAGTTTTTTGTTTCATCGTCGCATTCCTTTTCGTCACTGATGCAGCTAGCAGCTTCTCCATGCTTCTTTGTTTTAAGCTTTTCTCATCTACATAATCCTATACGAGCTTTTCTATCCCGTCAGTGAGCTCTGAAGCATATCCGGTATCGCTAAAATTCATGTGAAACTCGCAGGTATTTCATCAAAACAATTCCAGGTAGAAAGAATATCGACAGCTGAAGTTTGCAAGACTGTTGAGCAGTTGCTAATGAATAGCTTTGAAACAGCGCCAGTTCGCGTGGCGCCAAAATGCGTGTGGTGTCGAAAAGCGTTACCGCTTTGGATCGAAAAACGTGTCCGTTACGCAACCCGTCGTGAAGTACTCTTGTGGCTTGCACAGTATGCGCAACACTATTTGCACCAAGATGAAAAATTCGAGGTCCGTTTTGATGCCACATTGTAAATTATTCTAATTATTGAATTTATCCTGTACTGACGAGTTCCAGTTACTACAACCGCGGATAGACTTAACTCAGTGGATCAAAATGTCGATTAAAAAATGTAAAATTTCTAGAAATTAAGTATGAGGAAGAAGAAAACGAAATACATCAATACAAGTAGAAAAAGATAAAAGAAAAATCTTCGACAAAAAGTGGAAAGAAATGTTTCGGCTCTATACGTATGTCAAGAATAACAAGACTACCCCCCTCATTGATAATATAAGTATGCTTTCACAAGCCGGGCATAGTTGTGCCAGGATTTTCGGTCATGAACTGCACATTTCCAGAAAATACCCATCGGATTTTCATCCTACATGTGGCACCTCTTTGGGGGACGACCGAAGGGTTGATTACTTTTTTGTGGATACCACTGCATCATTCATATAAAATCCTACATTATTCATATTCACGTTCCACTGGTTGCCGGTATGTGAATATGAATGATGTAGAATTTTACATGAAGCTGAAAGTTTTACGTTAAATAGCGCCGATTTTATAACCAGCAGAAAAATTGCTTTTAGGAAAAAATTAATATATTTCATAAAATAACTATTTTTTATCTCGAATTTAATAACAGATTTCAAAGAGTAATTTTCAGGAAGCTTGGGAAGGAGAGGCGGAACCTCCTGTAATCGATGCAAGAGCTTACGAACTTTTTCCAGTAATTTACGACCTGTATGGCTTAAGCTGTGGTGCCAAAAATGGTTCATACACATACCGTTTATTTGTGATGGAGCCGGAAAAACAGTTCATGCTCAAGGTCGGCCAGGAAAAAACATTTCTGCATGAGTTTATTAAATGCGTAATTTACGAATTCAGAAAAAAAATACCATAAATTTTTGAGTTTGACAGAAATCAAGGTAAAATGAGGGTACACTAGAGCCAGTGGTGCAGTGGTTTAGCACGTCACACCCGGATGTAGCGGCGAATGGTTCAATTTCTTCTTTCTGCATACACATTTATCAAAAGGGCGCTCATTCCAAGAAACTGCTGGTAATAAGTAATCTTTGTAATGCGTTTTAGTTCTTTCGCAATGCAACCTAAACTGTGTTTGCCAAATGTGATTTCAAGACCATCAATGCTATTTTGAGGACTTTCGGTATGGCTTATGTAGAGTCTGTAAGAAGAGAGCAAGGTTAACTGCTAAGTATTGTCATGCTTTTTTTTCTACAGATCTGTCCGGGAGCTCGTGGTTTCAATCAGAGAGAATCGCTGGACGAAGACGAGGATCCGAGATTGTTTGACATTCAACAGCAAAGACGAAGACATGGAAAATTCAAGCGTGTGTCACGACGAATTAGCAATGCACTAAGACATGCTGTGGTTCGTTTTTTTTTTTTCACTGATTCTCAAAAATTAACAAAATTTCTTCCAATAACGACTTTCTGTGAAGGACGAAGACAATCAGAAGGTAATCCGAAAGGTAATAACTATTCGCTGACAAGGCTGCAGCCACTCAGCAACCACTCGCTGAAAAAGTTGTCGATGGTACTCTCTTTGGAGAGTTTTCAGAAGCAAGCTGTCGGCGAGTTAAATTCCTGGAATACGCCAGTACCCATTTACCATCGAAACGAATGAACGATTAGTAGGATTTGTTATCTCAGTGCAATGTCTTCTGAATGCCACTTCTCAGCGTGACGTGCTGACGAGCTTTCTGGAAGTTTTGGGGCGAAGCAAGAATCATCCGGATAAGTGTGGGAAAAGTGTTGAGTACATGTGATGAGGGACTCACTGAAGGAAAGGCTACAGAAAAACTACTTGTTATTTGCTTACGTTTCACACAGGAGTTCTCGGCACCACACAGGAGTTCTTTGAGCTATTTCGATAATCGTAATAACCACAAACGCTTCTCCCGAAAAGTAACCGCTCCTGCTCAGTTCGTGGAGCCAAGGATCTCGAAATTAATTCGAATGGCAAAACCCGATGGTAACAGTACTCATGAAGATACTGTAAATTGTAAGATACTGTAGATACTGTAACTTAAAACAGCCCTTTGGTCACTTCCACCCGGCGGTCAGCTCGTTGACCACTCGAAAGTTTGTTAGTCCTCGGAAACGGTTTCTCCGAAGCTTTTTCCCAAAAGCTTTTGCCTTTCCATGATTTCTCTGATCTGTTTAAGCTCACCACCTCATTTCGGCGGTTGCCATTTCTGGATCATGATAAAGTATTTTACCGATTAACAAAAGTTGCCGCTGCGAAAAAAATTCAATATTCATTGTAGGGCCTTCGTGAACTACCTCCATGGTCGGATGAAGATGAAACTGATCCGTCATCAACGAGACAATCATATGGTACTTAAAATTCCGTCATCAGAGAGATAA